TTATATAGGCCATCGCTTCTTTCGGTATATCATTTTTTTGTTTATTTGTACTGGTTAATTTTTATATAAATATATTATTTTTGAAGTATTTATGAAAAAATTTAAAATTATTTAGGAATTTTTAATATTTCTTTGGGAATTTTTAATACTATTTAGGAATTTTTAAAATAATTTATTATAATATAAGGGTTCTTTGTCATACATACAGCGTCTAGATATGAAGAGGGGGGGGGGCATTTTCCCCACAAATATTTTGAAGGGGCTATGAGTAAGGTAAAATTTTGGTAGTTATCAATTAAATTATTGGATAAACAGGGCAAAAATATACTGCTGTAAAGTTATATAGAAAATAGTGTTGTTAAATGTCTCATTTTGAGCCAATTTTTTAAAGCGGCTAACTCGATATTTTAGCCTTAAAAAATATTGCCTAAGTCTCGAGATTTCGATTATATATGTCTAATTAGTTCCTTCTATGAGCAAAATCTCCAGGCTCGGCTGATATTTTTCTGGATGAAATATTGAGTTAGCCGTTTTTAAAAATCGGCTCAAAACGAGCCGTTTAACAACACTAATAGAAAATTGAGTATTAAAATTTATACAATCTTTTAAAATGCATAAAAATATTAAAAAATTTGTCATATTTTTCATAAAATTACTAAATAATATAATATATCAAATATAATTTTTTATAAAGTGATTAACTTCAATTTATTTTTCTTAATAAAAGTAAGATTTATATAAAATTATTGATAAAATTAAATTATAAATTTTAAAAAAAAATTAATGCACAAGAATATTATGTGTGATAGATTTGCAGTATATCTAATTTTATTTAATATCGTAATCGTATGACAATCAAATAATTTTTACCAATAGTAAATTATATACTTTACAGAAGATTATAAAATATTGATATGGACATCAGAGCAAATTTTTTTTTAGATTATACGTTCAAAAGACTCAAAAGTAACTTTATATCAAATAAATACCATGAATATTTATATTTTTCTGGTTTTGATGTTTGTGGAAAAATTATTCTGGATAGTATTATTATAAAGTCATTGAGAATATTTTTTTTAGCTAAAATATTGAGTTAGCTGTTTATAAAAATCGGCTTAAATCGAGCCGTTTAACAACACTAAAAAGATCAATAATTCTAGGACTTTTATATTATAAGAAAAACAAATATGATTTTTAAAATAAGCCCGGCCGAAGGTCTGGCAAAAGGGCCGAAGATCCGTTAAAGGGGGGTCTGGGAGGCAAAGCCCACCAGGCTTTTATATGTAAGGACCCCCTCTAAGGAAAATTCCTAGCTACGCTACTGCTTTTAAAGAATGTAAATGAAAAAAATAATTTTTAGTTGTTAAATTAATAAACATATCTATTAATATTTAATTTTTTACTAGAACAAAATATAATTACTATTATTATTTATCAATGTAAATTCTAAGTGGGAACGATGGATATTTGGATATAAAGAACTAATTTTTTTTACTGATGAATAATTGTATTTGTACTGGTATTTTATATTTAATTTAATCATATTTTTATTTCGAGATTCTCAGTTCTCGTAGGCTAAATAATAGTAAAATTAACATAGCCAACATATTTATTCCATAATAAAGTTTTTATTTAATCGGACATGGGCTTTTTACCTCTCCTCTTATTTCCCATGGAATGAGCGTTTAAGTAAGTAGCTATGGCTCTTGATGATTCAACAAGAGTGATTATGCTAGAGAAAAATGATCCTATAATTCAAATAGTCCAAATAGGTAGATTTTAACATAATATTTATATATTTTTAAGTTAATGTTGATGAATCCAGTAAATTTTATTATAATAATTAATTGATCAATAATAACATCTTATAGTGGTTAATACATTCAAAATTACAAAATGTGTAATCTGGTTAAATTTGCTTATATTTTAAAAATATGTATATAATTAATTTAGGAACTTTACCATACTATTTTACAAATAAGAAAGCAAGATTTTTAACATGGCTCAAAAAAAAGGTACATTCATATAATATGATAATAAACATACCAAGAATTGTGAAAAGATAAGTACATAATAATATTTCCACATAATGTTGAGGAGTATTATAGAATTACGATTTTCATCCTATGGATACATTTTTAACTCAAATTAAAGAACACTTATTGAATTATAAACTGTTGCTCAATAACTTTCAAATTTTGTTATCCTCTTCCAACAGTGAGCATCTCGGATGAAATTAGAGATAAAATTCACTATTTATATACGTTTTATTTGCAAAATATAGTAAGGACATAATTGGAAGTTATTTAATTTTAAATATTGGTATCCAAGCTTAAAAAGAATGAACATTGAGCCTGAGAATGCATTAAGTGCGCTCAATGTTTGTAAACACACATTAATAAACTTTTCAAATATTTCAAAATTATTTCAATAGAATGCCTCCAATACGACATGTATTATCGAAAGAACTTTCTCGAATTAAAGAAAGCAAAAAACATATTTGAGAAATACTACCTCGCAAAATAGATTAAATGGCTGAGCGTTCATAAGTATTTATCTGGAATTAACAACCGTTAATTCTAAAACAATGAATAAATTATCAAATTCTATTAGAAAATTAGATCTACCATTATAAATTATTACCACGTTTTTGTATTAATGCATAAATATATAATAATATTATATTTTATATAAACTAATAATAATATATTTCCTATTTGTTACAGACTATTTTTTGATATAATCTCTTAACCAATTTCGTATATTTTAAATAAAGATAAAAAATTTTTTTTATTAAGATTAATCTCTTAACTTGACTAAGGAAACCCAGCCGAAAGCAAAGCAAAAGCGGGACAAAGGTCATCCCAAATTGGGTTGCTTATTAATTCCCCCCCCCCTTCCCCACCCCAGGAAAATCCTGGCTGTGCCTATACGATTACATGTAATTATTGCCTAACCGTTTTTAGAAAAGGAATTAATAAAATTAATATCAATATTATGTAAGCAATTCTAATTAAAAATTAATTAAATTTTATTATGGTTGCTGTATTTGGGGGTATGTTAGAGGCAGAGTTGTTAACGCTCCTTTAAAAGTAGCTAGCTCCCGCTCCTACCTTCTCAAAAGGAGCTAGCTCCCCCTTCCGATACTACTTTTTTAAAAGGAACTAGCTCCCGCTCCAAGTAATGGAGTGCCACTCCATAACCGCTCCTTTGATTTTAATTTTTTAGAAGGTACACGAAACAAAATCAAATTTTTTTATCAAAAAGTTTTATTTATAATAAATGATCTATCAAAATATTTATAATCTTTTATTAGCCTTTAAAAAAATAAATTTTTTATATTAGAATCTAACAAACACTCTCCCCTAAGACCTGTTTTGCAATACTAAATAAGTGAAGTGCGGTATTGTATTTTATAGAGATATTTTTTAATTCAGGTATAAAAACGGAGGTTGAACAAGTAATGAGAAAATTGAAATAAATATTGAAATATATTTAAAAAGACATCATATCTAACAACCCAAGCTCAACCATAATGAATTGTCCAAAAAAAATTATAACCATTTAAAAAAACTATTCCAAATAAAAAAAAAATAGTTATCATTTCGTAAAGAACGATTTTTTACTTTTAGATGCTTTGTTAGATTGGAGTTGTTCAATGCTCACTTTTGAAAATGAAATATTTTTACTTAAACACAAAAGGCATTTTGCCCTTAAATTTGTTTGATCATTTTGATCAACATCTTTTAGAAGTTTAAAATATTTTTTATATGATGGAAATGGAAATTCGATTTCTTCTTCTGTGATCTCTAAATCCATAATATCGAAAACTATTTTTTATTATATATCTATAAAATGAATATTAATATGACTTACAAGATTTTCCACAAAATTTTCAATATAAAAATGAAAAACTTGATGTTTAATATTTAAAAGATTAGAAGAAAAACCAATATAAAACTCGGCTCAACATTTAATAATGGATAAATTTAAATAAAATAAAATCTCATTTTTATCGAATTTTAATTATCAAATATTATTAATATTTAAATTTTTTTTAATTTATACCATAAATTTAAAGGAGCGGTGGAGCGGCGCTCCTCCACTCCAGCCTTAAAAGAAGCTAGCTCCCACTCCCTCTCCTGATTTTTAGGTGTTTTTGAAAAAATGTAGCGGCGCTCCAGAAGTGCTGCTCCTGTATCTCCGCTCCTTAAAAACTCTAGTTAGAGGAATATAAGCTTGTTAATAAATTCATTAGCTCGTTTATTTATCTTCATTTTTTTATGATGTATTAGTGAATAGCTACCGAACATGGAGATAGACAGACAAGAATATGTATCCACATCATATGGTTTTGTAGATGGAGGAAATTTCGAGGATGATTACCGGGTATTATGGAATGGGATCATTGATTATATTACCATGTGTTGTCGGATTAATTATAATTAATATAATTTGTACATAGGTTTATTTGATTGCAATAAAGAATTATATGAAGTCTAAGTTATATATATATATATATATATATGTACAAAATTATATTTTAAAAATAAACGCACAACATATTATAATAATAAAATATCAACGAACCCGATTTATTGTTTAGTTATTGTAAACTACAATTTATTCTAAAGTCAGTATATTTAATATAAAAATTTGTTCTTTATACAAAAAAATTATGTCCTTATTGGATAATAATATTCACGTGTTAGTTATTGATTTTATACAAAAATAGTTAATATTGATTATTTGAACGATCGAAACGAAATTAATACCATAAAAATAAAAATTTAAAGTAAAATAAAATAAAATATAACCCTAGGGTATAAAAATTAGAAACAAAGTGCTTTGCGTTAATATATATTAAAAAATATAAAAGTTAGTTTTAGGTTACGAAATAAATATCAACCATATGCATCTCTAATTTTTTTTTATCTTCATTAAAAATATTTTAAGTTTTTATAACATTAATATATTTTATATTATATGATATAGTGTTATAAACTGACACCTATCATATTTTACAATACTTAAATCGATGTTAACGTAAACGTAAAGCACTTGTTTATTTATTAAATTACGTTCAATGATGGAAAATGAAAGTTCTGTTAATAAATTAAATGAAGAGATTTCTACAGTTTCAGAAGTTTAAGCATTATCATTTTAATAGCCATAAATCCAAATTTAGGTCAAATTAGATGATACTCCCTTGACTAACAATTATGATGGATTCAAAACACCTTTAATGGAGGATATAAGCTTGAGTACATTTTTGCTAATCAATATATTTATAATAACTTATCAAGGCGAAGAAAATTTGAACGATAAAGATAAAAGTATAGAATTTTATGATGCCAATGCTGAAAGTGTGAGTATAATTAAAAATAAAGGACTTCATTTAAACACTAATCACCAAATACCTGGTAGTTCTATAGTTCATAATGCTGCGCAAGTGCAACCTTCGGTTAGTCATCAAGATTCTATTAAAGTATTAAAAGTATATTTTATTATTAAATTATTTTTTATCCAGTTTTGGCATATTTAGAATAATCATTTAAATATGAATGACCTAAATTTTTCTTGTATTATAAATAGAGTAAATTGTTCAGAAATATTTTTTAAATTATTAACAAATGTAATGAAATTAGCAAAAAAATTAAATTATACTTATTATATATTTAAAATTAATGCCAATTTAGCCTATATATAATTATAAATCTTAGGATGTTGTCAAAAAGTTTGTTATGACATTAGATGACCCTGTTATAAATAGCATAGAACGAAATACAGCTTTGACTAATATTCCTCACATTAAAGTTAGGATTGTTGAACCTCAAAAAGTTGGTGAAGGAATAAGTGCTTATGTCGTCTACAAATTAATAACCACGGTTTGTGAAGAAATATTTCTTTTTCATTATATACTTGTTTTATTACCAATTTCATTATAAAAATAAATTATAAATTTAAAAAGGAACACAAAATCCAGAGCACTAAAAATTACCTAAAACTTTAAGAATTAAAAAATGTACATCCATTCAATCATTTTAAAATTTAGAAATTTTTTTTATAATTATGCATTGGGTTTTTAAAGATATCCAAATTATAGGTGGGTGTGGGCCATGTAATTACGCATGACATGATGGGTCATGGCTTTTACAATTATGAATTACGATTGTGATTGTACTTTTACTATTGTGATTGTCTTTTACACAAATTATAAAATTATCAACACCAATTTTATTATTACTAAAATACCAAAACTTAAAATAAAAAAAATATTTTACAAAATCTATTTTCAAAATTAATAAACAAAATAATATTAAATACAATGCATCAATACCTAGAACACCTTCCTTATTTTTCAGAGGTACTCTTAGGTAACTACAAATATATATATATATATATATTAAATGTAAATGTATATATATAAAAACTAGCATAATAAGACAAACAATATTAGCATAATGTATATAAAACACTATTTATATAAAAAAATTTATTTATTATTCACTTCATTTAAAGCCAACTCTGCAAAATTTTTTGTACTTCTTCAGCCACTATATTATTCTTGCGCATTATGGGTCTCCTCAGTTTTTGAATATATATCTTCCCCATCATTGTCTTTCTAACATTGAAATCTTTGTTATTATACACGAGTAATCTTTTGATCATCCCACCTTGAGGAGGAATATCCTGAGTCTTCCTTGGGTTTATAGAGTGATTTCCTGGCACATTTACATCACATATTTAGAATGAGCTGTAATATTAGATCTGGCATATTAATTGTTTGGACAATGTGTTGCTTTGTGCCCTTCAATCCCACAAAAATAAAAGAATCAATGAGAATTGAAATTGTGGTCTACAACTTGTCTTCGTTGATAACATGACCTCATATGATTTTTTATCAGTTAGTTCTAACCATGCTTTTCCCAGAACCCTGTCGCATTAACTTGTAAAACAGTATTTTTTTAAGCTTTAAATAATGAGTATTCATCAAACAAACAAACAAAAAAAATTTTATTTAATATATAAACTAATTTACAAATTTTCAAAAATACTTAACTAATTGAAAAAAATATTTTAATTTAACTACACAAACACAAATTTTTCCTTATCACCAACAATTTATTTACATTTCATCTTCACATATATAAATTAAAATTTTTCCTTATTACCAACAATTTATTTACATTTAATCTTCACATATACCCCTTCACTTCTTTTATTAATTTACCCCTCTTTATCTCTTAATCCTTTTATCATTTTCACTTTTAATAGAGATTGCATGAACAACCTCATGTGTTACATTTTAATTTTCTTCTTTTTTTTAACAAACAACTATTTTTCGCTATTTACATTTTACATTCTCAACTCAAAAAACATTTTAAATCTCCAACACAATACCATTTGACCCCATATTTTATTAAACTTCCAATACAATACCACTTGACCCCCATATTTTACTTCATTTAATCTTTAGATTTATTCCAGTTTCAAAAAAAAACAACGGCACATGCGTATCTAATTTTTACAATTTTATTATTAACAAACTATACCACTAAAATTTTACGAGTTAATATATTTCCTCAATAATTTATCACTTTAAACTATCAATTTAATCTATACGTAATTTTATGGACAAAGCGATCCATAACCTTTCTACCCCTAAATAATTTTAACTATTTACTTCTATATATACCCATTTTTACTCAATTCTATCACATAATATATCAATTTTATTCAGCTCTATTTCTTTCATATGGACTAAGCGATCCATTTAAGATACTTAAATATATATATATACTCATTTTTATTTATCTATCTCTTAAATTTTATTCAGGTTCTATTCCTTAATTGATCATGCCTCACTTCTACACTCTTATTCTCTATTATTACCGAACACAAATTATTTCCCAAATTTTCTATCACTCTACCCGTTTCCCAGTTTACTTTTTCCATACATTCTAAAACCCAAACTAATTGATTCACATTATATTTCACTTGATCATTATTTTCTTGAATCCCAACACTTTCTGTGGGTCTCAATATATTTAAAATCATATTGATTTTTCTGCCCAATAATTTTTCTGCAGGTGATTTACCATCTTTACCTCTAGCATTATTATAATACAACTTCAATACCCACGTTTCTTCTTTGTTCTCTTTAGTTTTTATTAACCAATTTTTTACTATATCCACCATCCTCTCAGCCTGTCCATTTGAACTAGGATGATATGGTGGTGCAACTATATGATCTACATTTAATTTCACACAAAAAGTTTTAAATCTTATGCTTATAAAGGCTGGACCCCCATCCGATACCATACTTTTCAGTATTCCAAACCTTGAAAATATTTTTTACAATATTTCATTACAATTCCGTGGTTAACCCATATACTTCTGCAAATTCTATCCACTTGGAAAAAGAATCCACCATCAAAATAAACTTTTTACCTTCCCATTCAAAAAAATCTAAGTGAATCCTCTCCCAAAGTCCTTTGGTTTTCGGTCAACTACTATACGGGGCATATTGGCAGAGGCATTACAAATTTCACGATTTTTTCCTAATTAATCAATTTCTTCATTCATACCCGGCCACCATATATATTCCCTTCCCCATTATGTTATCCGGGTAATTCCCTGATGTCACGAGGAAGATATATATTCAAAAACTGAGGAGACACATAATGCGCAAGAATAATATGGTGGCTGAAGAAGTACAGATAATTTTGCAGAGTTGGCTTTAAATGAAGTGAATAATAAATAAAAAAAATTTGTATAAATAGTGTTTTATATACATTATGCTAATATTGTTTGTCTTATTTTTAGTATGATAGTTTTTTTTATATATTTAATGTGTATATATATATTTGTAGTTGCCTAAGAGTACCTCTGAAAAATAAGGGAGGTGTTCTAGGTATTGATGTTCGCGTTGTATTTTTAATATTATTTTGTATTAAAATAATCGATATTGTAAAATTATTTTTATTTTAAGTATTGGTATTTTAGTGATAATAATAAAATTGGTGTTGATAATTTTGTAATTTGTGTAAAAGACAATCACAATCGTAATTCATAATCGTAAGAGTGTGAATAAAATTTAAATTACTAGGCATGCTTTCCCAAAATTTTTGCCAGTTGTGATTGACTTTCTTATGAATCACGGAAATTTGCAATTTTATAATTATGATATATATATTCTAATTTAATTTAGTTCTTTTTAAAAAAAGAAAAATTTTGGGGGAAAAAAACTTCTGCATTTTAAAACAACATTTTTTCCCGTCTTATAAAATATCAATTGAATGAAAATGAATGATCTTTGAACTCTCGTTCAGCAATGGGAATTTGGTAAAAAATAAATTTAATTTAAGTACAGTTTATTTTCATTTATCTTTACTAAAAAATTTATCAATCATCAAAGAATGCTCGCATAATCTGAGTGCAGATTCTCATTCCATAATAAAAGAAGTTTATTTATAGAAACAAAAATTAATAATTTTTGTCAACCATCTGAAGGTGATACGATAATAATCAAAACCTAAAAACATGACAACATTTCTTTTAAAGAGAAGATTTATTATTCAACCACTACATAGGGTAGGCTTAATTCTAGATCCGAATTTCAAAAGTCTTAAGTTTTTAATAGAAGAAAAGGAGATATATATCAGAGACCTGCAGAGGTACCATTTGTACGGCCCGGCCCGGATTTTTTTTTAAGAAATTTTTTCTGCCCTGCACGTTTTTTTTAAAATAATTTTTCCAGCCCGGCCTGGACCGGGTTGTTTTTTAAAAAAAAATCAGGCCCGGCCATTTTTTTTATTTTTGATTTTTACAACTAAAAATGGCGATTTCAAATATTTGGTTTTAAAATATACGGCCCGGCTCGGATATATTTTTTTTAATTTTCAGGCCCGGCCCGGGTAAATTTAAAAAAATTAAAGTCCGGGCTTAGGGCCGGACTTGCAGGTCTCTGATATATATAGAACAATCTTAAAAATATGAAATGATATAAAATTAGATGATTTGCATAAATCAAGGCCAACTATCATTTAACATTTCTGATTCATCCTGCACACATAAACAATATATTCTAAATGAAACATTTAAAGAATTTCTGGATGAATCTGATGAAGCATCAACATCTACTAATGAAAGTTGTGAGGATAAACTTAGAAGATTCATCATTCATAAATTAATAACAATGATAATATTTTGGAGTTTTGGAAGCAGGAAACATTTTCTTTTTTGAGAAAATTAGTTAGTAAAATTTTCCCCGTCAATTTTGGCTTCTAGTGAAAGGTTATTTTCTATATCTAATCACTTATTAGAGAAAAGGAGAACACAATTGAAATAAAAAAAACATGGGCATTCTGCTTTTTCAAAATAAAAATTTTTATTTCAAATAACATAAAAATTAATTTAATAAGATTTTTGTTTACTTATTTGGTATAATATGTTTTATTTGCCTGGCATTTGATATTATAATCTTTGGATTAAAGAATATTGTAAATAATTAGTTTAGAAATATTAAATCTTTTATATAAGTATGATAATTTAAAAATCTTGAAAACTCGTTATAGTTGTTTTCTTTATTAATTTTATTATTTGACATGAATAATTGTAAAAACATAATAAAATTTTATAATATAAATGAATGAATGGGATTAATAATATCCAGTGCCCCGTTTAGAGGTCTTACACAAATGGACGAAAAATAATGCCCACTTTTAAAAGTAGACAGTTGCCGAATTTATCAAAGCATCTTCTAATAGTAGTTAATATAAATTGATTAGGACTCAAAATTTGGTCAAATTCAGGAATTTCTCAAATTATCAAGAGCCCAAATTAAACAGGTTTGACTCTATTAAATTTGGATTAAAGGTGGGGG